AGAAAGTCTCTTATATAAATTCGGGATATCGTCTGACTCTTCGGGACACCTGATCCTTGGGTGAGATGCAGTATCGATAAGACGATTGAAAAATACCTCGGGTCATTAAGCCCTGAGCCAAAACACACAAACGCGCTGTAACCAAATAACTTAATGCTTTGGCATATCTCAACCAACGGCTCTCCCTAATAAGCGAAGTAAGGGACATCGGTCTACCGACGGGAAAGTCTGGCAGTACTACCATCTACGACGAAGGCTTGAAAATGGGGAATGCAAATGGACTCAACTCGGGAACTTGCAGGTCAGGTATTCATATTGTTCGCCTCACAGCTGATATTATTTTCGAAGCAAATAATTTTTGCCATAGATAAGGCAACTACTAAAGTTGCGAATTGTTCGGGAATGACACGCTTCGTTGGCATTCCGGGTTTAAGTCAACGTCACGCTTTTTGGAGGAAAGGAAACAGCTGATGCGATAACAAAATATGGTTCATAAGTGAAAAGCTCGACGTCGTCACATATGTGGATTGACCTACAATTATAAGCCGCCTCCGACCGACCTTCTCATGACAAAACCATGCTCGAAAATTCGCCTTTGCTTGCCTAGGGACGATCGGTACAAAAATCTTTATTTTTTTATTAAAAAGTTATAAAGAAAACTCGATTTTGGACAAGTCAGGGAATAAAATTTCTCTCTCGGAGCCAGCTTCCAAAGAAAGGCTTAAGGAAGTAAGCTTCGCGAGCCAGCCTAATTTATATACATATACATATAGCCAGGGTTCGTCCCTGTAAAGCACATTACTCGCTCAATTTTTTTAGAACTTGCACTCGTGCACCCATGTAAATATGTATGTAGCATATATCTACACCAATATGGCAAGTTGCCCAATTCACACACATATGTACGCACATGCGCCCATACAAGTATCTATGCTTTACACTAACCAGAGACTAATGCCCAGACACGCTAGCGCCAGCCAAACAGGCAACCGACCGACCACTCAGTCAGTCAAGGTAGGGCTTCTGGTCGTTGTCGATGGTATGCCATAGCCAACATTCACAAGTGAAACAGCGAAATTGAACATAAGAGTGGCGTCGGTCGAATTGAAGGACCTGCCACATACCCCAAAGGTCGACAAATGTCTAGTGGTAGTAGTAGGTCGGGGGGGGGTCGCTCCTTTACCAAACAACCGACAAGTGTCCTTTGCGTTGTTGTGAATGTCTGGTGCCAGACGCTTGGTTTATGTAAACATACGAGTACACACATATGTATGTACATATAGGACTTTATATTTGTATTTAACCACAGATGTAGCTTCATGGCATACGCACTACGCTTATTGGAAATTTCACATGTTTCTGCCATCAGAATTGAACTTTTCCTCTTTATTTATTCAAACATTTACTTCGCATTAAAGCGGCTTTAACGAATATATTTTTTTCGCTTCATTATGGGGAAAGTGTATATTTGTTCAGAACAATTTAACAGCTTGTATACAAAAGATATATCAATAAAATAACTTATCATTATGGCAATGCCTGAATAAAGAAGAGTTCAATGTACAGCAAAGGAATTTATTTCGAATTAATACAGAATGACGACGATCGATTTTTGCTGCGGATTGATACCACTGGGGCCTCAATTGAAAAAAAAAAATCAGAAACAAGAAAATTAAGATAGTTTTCATACTTATTTGGTCTACGCTTAAAAAAAATTGTCATGTTATTTACATAGAAATTTTCAAATGATCACCGACACCTATGAAAATTGGAATACAAATATTTCCAAATGGGAGAATTTTCTACTCAGTAAATAGGTCATTTTAAGGCCATTGATTCACCTAATTGGGTCACCCTAATGTATGAATTAGCAATGTGCTCCTGAGTTTGTGAAAATCCTTGAATTTCCTCTTCCATAATTATGAGGTAATGCAGTTGGGACTTGTGTTGATGTTGAACATTACTGCATGTATTCCGATGCCGGAAATCGCGTGGCCAGAAAGGCCTATCTACCTAAGAGTCACTATGCCCAAAAGTAGACCACATGTAGCGACAAATCACTACTAGTGCCCTGTTAAATGACAAGTCTTCTTGATTAAAAAAAAGTAAGTGCGCCTAGGCCACACTAGAGAAGTGAAACAAATTCGATAAAAACATCGATAGCCAAATCGATAAAAATATCAATAACGAAATCAATAAAAATATCGATAACAAAATCAATAAAAGTATCGATACCCAAACCGATAAATAATCCGATTAAAAATATCGATAACAAAATCGATAAAATGTCGATATCAAAAACGATAACAAAATCGATAAAAACATCGATACCCAAATCGATAAAGTGCCGATAACAAAATCGATAAAAATATCGATACCCAAATCGATAAAAAATATCAATAAAAAATCGATAAATAATCCTATTAAACTAATACCATTTGCATACATTTAAGAAGTACTTGATTCCGTCCCAAACATGTCCGTGTCTTCCGTGTAGAAGTTTCTTTATGTATTGTAATAAATCATCATTTGCTTTAGGAGTTTTCGCACAACTTTATATTCATACCTTGGAAAGAGTGGAAAATATATTCATTCATGCATTTTATTTCTGTGTGAATATGCCAATAATTCCGACTATATGAACTTCTACATATATCTAGCATTTAGTGCCTCATAAATATTTGATACATTGCCCATAATCACTTTGTCTCAAACGATTTATTACAGAACACCTTTATTCAGTGCGTATATGAGACTAATAAAATGCATACGTTTGTTTACCCACACAATCGACGTACTGAATCACATTCACGTAGGCATGGGAAGATAACAGAGCGGCAATGAACACAAACGAGTAGTAAACCACAGCCATAAAAGGACATAATTCCGATATAAATCGGTTCAAATTTTGTCGGCTGCCGAGTAAATTGAATGCTAGGTAAGTAATATTTTTTGCACAAAATAGCAGGCAAAAAAAAATTGTGTATGTACATTAGAGTGGTCCAAAAAAATTAAAGTCGCAATTTTGATGCTTTTACTCTCGCTTATTGTTCTTTATCCAAAAAATATACCCCATTTTTTTAACCGACTTCCAAAAAAGGAGGAGGTTATCAGTTCGTCGGAATATATATTTTTTTTTTATGTATGTTACCGCATAACTTTGGACCACGTCAACCGATTTCGATAATTTTTTGCATCGGAAAGGTAGTGTCTCAGAGGTGGTCCCACACTAATCTGGTCAAGATCCGATCAGCGGATCATGAGATATATATATATATTTTTTTTATATGAGAGCTGAAGTCGGTTTTTTTTGCTAAAAATTACTTGTTTTTTTATCAACAAATATGTAGAGGTCGCTCAAAGCGCTCACAGTTTTCCACGTATTTTATATCGAAAAACAAACAAGTTGTCGTAGAACTGGTGTAGAATTCTTCAAAATCAATATTTTCGATCGGAAGACTCTGGTTCTCTTCAGGAGACTTCCAATAATAATACCAAATTGTTTATTTAACCAGTTTTTAATATTAAAGATTTTTTATTGGTACCCTTATTGAATTTTCTGGGCTTTTAAGCGAACCTATAAATTACAGTTACTATGAAAAGATGGTTAAAAGAACAATAAGATATTATTACTGGAAATCTCCAGAAGAAAAACAGAGTTTTTCGATAGAAAAATATTGATTTTCGAGAATTCTATACCATTTCTCCGAAAAGTTTTTTTCCCATATAGTAAAATATATGAAAAACTTAGAGCGCTTTGAGCGGCCTCTAAATATTATTGACTTCAAAATAAAAAATAAGGGCATGTTTTTCGGTATAGAAAAATCCTATCGGGTGAGAGCATAAAAAATCCGACTTTGCTTTTTCACATGCATTTTTGGACTACTCTAATGTAAATACATACATACAAGCTATACATTCGAATTTATTCAGTGATCGAAAATTGGAAAGTGAGCAAATGGCAGATGATAAAGTGAATTTAAAGACACTGAGTGCAAGTGAAAGCCCATTAAAAAGAGATTTTCATTGAAAACTGTAAATTTATGGTTTTAAAGTTAGTGAAAATAAACCTAGCCAAAGCGCTTTGCAAGCAAAGCAAAGCAATGGAAATACGAAAGAAGTAGGAATACGAAAAGTAAGCCAATTTATCAATTATTTCAAATTTGCATAGGAAACGGGAAAAATGCAAGTCCAGTAAAATTTATGGATGCATTTTTGTATTCGCAATGGAGTAAGCAATTGCAGTTTGAAAATTTTCTCTTAGTAAATGACAAAAAAATTTGAATGCAGATACAAAATATGAGCACAATTTGCACTTTGTTGGTACTTCTTGCATTCCATATTTTCTAGCAAGCAAGTCTTCGTAGTCCAACAAGCGCACGAGCAAATTAAATGAACAAAGAACGCCATTTATTCGCAATGAATACAATTCATCAGATACAATAAATCGGTTGGCCCTAGTTTTATAAGTGCTTTTGAAAGAAAACAAAAAAAAAATATCTGCCTGGCAAGCAAAGGAATGCAGCTTCTTCATTTAGAAGTATGTATGTAAGTAGCAGGAACAAGATTCTATTAAGTATATTTGTATGCTGCGGTTGTACGGCTGACAGGCATTAGCCTGCAACTGCGTTAATCAAAACCGCAAAATCTGCCAACATAAATGAGGGAAAATAAAGCACACAGATGATGATCATAAAGCACAAGTAAGAAGAAGTATCCGTATAAAAATGTATAAAAAATAAATTATTACAGTTATAAAAATTGTGCAATATTTGCTCTACGACTTAGTCCGGCACCCACTGCAACTGTAACATTAACGATGCGGTTTGAACTTTAATAATGATGGATTCGTAAGTAGAGAAATATGGCAGGCAATTTTATGTGCAGCATAGGGTAGCTGCTATAAAATAATGGACTACAAAAGAGGACAACATCACTTTTATGACGGTGATGAAACACAGAAAACGAAAAATATAAAAAGTAGGAGGAATCAGACTTACGGGTTTGCAATGTGGAGAATTGTGGATTTTGGTGGTTTGGGGACAACTCACCTGAAAAGAGAAAAGGTGAAGAAATGCATTAGGTTTATGAATGCGTACTATTATAGAAAATATATACTTACAAATATTGTGTAAAAAATATCCTTATACTTGTAAATCAAATATAAAAAAAGAGAGGGTTGGAACTTCAGTGTGTCAAATAATGTAATAGCTTAGGTTATACTAATACATCTGAGCTTCAGGTTTTTTTTTGTTTTGGGAAACCATCTTACATATCCACAAGTTTTAAATAATCTTTACGCTTTCAATTGCGTCTCACATTCCCCACGCTTATCGATGACATTACCGATACATCTATCAACATTGATGACTTTATCGACTTAATCAGTGATATTGTCATTGTTATACTTATCGATATTGTTATCAATATTTTAAGAGATACATATACATATTTATCGATAAACTTTTCGATACACTCATATTTGTCGGGAAAGTTTCCAATATATATTTCGATATCGATATTTTTAGCGAAATGTTTCTTAATGAAGTCTCCGGCTACATTTATTTATAAAAAAAACAACAAACAAAGTTTTACGCGAAAAACGCTGTGAATATTAAAAAAAATAAAATAAACATGTGAACGCTTGGGTGAGTCACTGTATGTACATTTGAAACTTTATACAGTCCATATCGACACCTTTGCGCAAAATTATCGTATGTAACATTTTCTACGAAATTCACTTTTTGATGCAACTTTGGGCGGTCTTAAAAAGTTTTCTGAGATAGGGCGTTTTCGAACTGGCTGCCGAGATCGAGGTCGATCTTCACCTCAGGTATCGATATATGTATAAGTAATAATAATAATAATCCCAACGGTTTTTACCCTCCATTCCCGCCCATCCGCACGAGGGGCGCAGTCCGCATGACGTACGGAACCAATATTTTAAATTTTTGTGCCGAGTCACGATAGGCAGGAGTTTGTTAAGTGTCGAGATCTAAAACTGTTCAGCTACAGAACTAAATTCATCAGCTGATTTTATGTATTTATGTCAATAATTCACTTATTGAGAGAGGAGAGTATCGCTTTCTTAATGCTGAAAAGCGGATCTGATATATCAAACGTGCTGGAATGAGAGTTAAAATCCTGGCATAAGCAACGGAGTGGGTCGTGCAATTCAAAATTGGTTTTACAAGCTTTCAGAAATATGGGACAAAAGTGTCTTGATACGCGTGAGGAAACATTAAAGCTTACATCAGCCAGAAGAGACGGACTTGAAATTGAGCCTGTCAGTAATTTAACCATAAAAATTATACCAAGCATTTCCCTGCGACTGGCAAGTGTAGGAAGGTTAATAAGTTTTAAGCGACTCGTATAAGGTGGAAGACTATATTGAGAATCCCATCGGAAATTTCTTAAAGCAAAAAGTAGGAATTGTTTTTGAATTGATTCTATCTTGTCTGAGTAAATTTGATACCTTGGATTCCAAACCACCGAGCCGTATTCCAGAATCGGCCTAACTAATGTTGTAAACAGGGTTTTAGTGATATAAGGGTCACTAAATTCTTTTGACCATCGTTTCACAAATGCAAGTACACCTTTAGCCTTGTTGACTGTCACATTAATGTGAAGATTAAAATTAAGCTTAGGATCCATTGTGATACCAAGGTCCACAAAATTGTATACCTGTTCCAGGTTATGGTTACCTATTATATAAGAAACTGGCAGAACAGCTCTTCGCGAGAAGCACATTACTTTACATTTCTTAAGATTTAGAGGCATAAGATTTACTTTACACCAGTAAGCCATGCTGTTTAAGTCTGACTGTAGCAAAGACCTTTCTTTAATTGAAACGTACGATTTATAAAGTTTTACATCATCTGCATGCATTAAATTTTTGGAGAATTTTATATCTGTAGAAATATCGTTTATAAAAAGCAAG